CCTAGCCCGAAACCCTAAACCCTAAACCCGAAACGCAAAACCTAAACCCTAAACCCTAAACCCCACACCCTAAGTCCTAAACCCTAAACCCTAAACCCTAAACCCCAAGCCGGGGTTGTGTCCGGCTAGCAAAAGGGCTATGTGAAGTTGCTCTAAGGTCCTTGCAGAAAAGGAAGCAACTTCGAGAAAAGGACCCCTTCAAAGGCGACTCGTTACCAAAAAGGAACCTACCTTAGGGTAACATCTTGTGGAAAGGTATTCTGATCAACTACCTTGGCGTTTCGGGTTTGGGGTTTAGGGTATAGAGTTTAGGGTTTAGGGTTTAGGGTTTTTGGTTTAGGGTTTAGGGTTTAGGGGAATCCTTTTCGCGATGGTGGGATGGCCTTTCTGTTTCTTTAAGATGTCTGGTGAAGGCGCCCTGCCAGGAGCTAGTTCTATTTTTCTTTGCTTTTTTGTTAAAGGGCGGAGAGGATGAGGACATAGTCTCCTGAAGCATTATTATATTTTCTTTTCTAAACCCTAAACCCCAAACCCCAAACCCCAAACCCCAAACCCCAAACCCTAAACCCTAAACCCTAAACCCTAAACCCTAAACCCTAAACCTCCCAAGCTTGCATCCTCAAGAAGCAGGAGAGCACAGAAGTAGGGTTTCGGGTTCTAAGAGGGCCACCCGGAACCCTAACCCCTTCAGGGTTTAGGGTTCGGGTTTAGGGTTGAGGGTTTCGGAACCCTAAACCCTAAACCCTAAACCCTAAACCCTAAACCCTAAACCCTAGGATTTAGGGTCAGGGTTTAGACCCTAAGCCCTGTCATGGTTTTTTTTGTTTCGTTCTTCTCCAGGCCGGCGGAGGCCGAGGCGCCTGCGGCCGGTGGCCCCAGATGACAGGATGACGATGTAGCTGTTTGGGGTTTGGGGTTTGGGGTTTAGGGTTTAGGGTTCAGGGCTTAGGGCTTGGGGCTTGGGGCTTAGGGTTTAGGACGTTGGGGGGGGGGGGTTGGGTTGAGAGGGTTTTGGGTTTGGGATTTAGGCGGGGTTTCTGGGTTGAGGGGGTGTTTGGGGTGTTTGGGTCTGGCCGGGGGGAGGGGGGGTGGGGGGTAGGGCTTGTCGTGTCTTTGAAAGCGTAGGGGCCTGTCGTTAGGTCTTTTGGCATCTTTTTATGGGATGCTTTAGGGTTCGTTGTTTTGAGAATTGCTTGGGTGGCTCAAGGGCGGTCGAGCTTTATTTGGGTAAGCGGTCTAGGGTGGCTGAAGCGACGTAAGGTTTTGAGGGCTAGGTAATGAAGGGTTTAGGGTTTAGGGTTTAGGGTTTAGGGTTGTTAAGAACTCCATCTCAGCTGGGCGTCGATACGTGAAGTCATGATTGTGGGCACCCGTGGGTTCCTTGCACAAGGGCCCCACCCTAAACCCTAAACCCAAAACCCTAAACCTTAAACCCTAAACCCTAAACCCTAAACCCTAAACCCTAAACCCTAAACCCTAAACTAACAACCCTCAACCCTCAACCCTAAACCTTGTAGCCCGAGCTCAAGTCTCTCTTCGTGTTACCAGGCCTCGACCCCAGAGGAGGACGACGCTTTGTACTTTTGGGATGTTCCCCCTTCCTTACAGCCCTTAGTAGTTGGAGGTTCGGGGTACTTATTCTCCAATCATAACTGTGCTTGTAACCCACTTGTAAGCCCCTTAAGTGTTCCAATATGGTTATCATTTGGGTCATAAGTACAGTTATACTTGGTTCGTAGGTACCCTGAACTTTCAAGTAGGGAGTATCATAGGGAGTTTGTATGATCCCAAATAAGGACTGCTAGTATAAGGGGGAACATCCGAAGGTGTGTTGTGGACACGTCCCAAACGCGGGGTACGGTGACAGCGCTGGGTAAGAAACCTTTAAGTTTTGGCGAGGGCACCCTAGATTGCGAAATTTTGAGGCCCACCTTTTTCCCGGAGTTATCACCCCCACAATTTGGAGGGTACCGTTGATTTCCGAACCTTTTTCTGACTTGGGATTCGAGCTGGCAATCTCTGGATTAGGAGGGCTTCTCCTTCTCCATTCGCCTGATCGCTCGATTTCTTAACTGCCGTCCCCTCCCCTTAAATCAGAAACCCAGACCCCCCCTCCCCCCGCAAATAAGAAATCCAAGCCCCCTCGCTTTCTTAAATTGAAGCTCCTCGATTTCGTAAATTTAAGAAAACCGGCCCCTCGATTTCCTAAATTAAAGGAATGCAGCCCCTTGATTTCTGAAATTTAAGAAATCCTGCCTCTCAATTTCTTAAATTTGAGGGGCTGCAAATTGAGGGCCCGTGGCAAAATTAACCATAGTTATGAAATTGTGGTCACGAGGATGAGGGTTTAGGGTTTAGGGTTTAGGGTTTAGGGTTTAGGGTTTAGGGTTTAGGGTTTAGGGTCTTAATTTGGTCTAGTGAGTCTAGCTTGCAGTGCTCGTTTCTTAGACCCATGATTAGGGTTGAGGGTTTAGGGTTTAGGGTTTAGGGTTTAGGGTTTATGATTTCTTAAGCAGTTCTGTCACTGCACCCGTTATGGACCCCGAATGTCGTAGAATCCCCTTTGCCAGGGGCACCCCCGCGAAATCGGAAACCCTAAGCCCCAAACCCTAAACCCTGGACCCTATAAACCCTACAACCCATAAGCAAACCATTTTTGCCCTAAACCCTACACCCTAAACCCTAAACCCTAAACCCCAAGAGGGTATCGGGCCCCCCGGGTAACCTCGCAGTCGGCTTCAGTCAGGCTACCCTGGCTCAGAGGCTGCCCGAGCTCCAGCGACAGGTGCGCGTTTAGGGTTTAGGGTTTAGGGTTTGGGGTTTAGGGTTTAGGGTTTAGGGTTTAGGTTTGGGGTTTTGGGACTTTCGGGTTTTTAGGGTTATAGGGTTTTAGGGCTTAGGCGTTAGTTTGTGGTTTTGGGACTTTCGGGTTTTTAGGTTTATTTTGGGCTTTTAGGGCTTGGGGCGTTAATTTGGGGTTTTGGGGCTTTCGGGTTTTTCGGTTTTTAGGGCTTAGGCGCTAGTGTGGGGTTTTGGGACTGTCGGGTTTTTAAGGTTTATTTTGGGGTTTTAGGGCGCAGGGATTTATTTGGGGCTTTGGGGCTTGGGGGTTTTCGGGTTAAGTGTTTGGGGGTTCAAGGTTTGGGGTTTTCGGGTTTGGGGCTCTTGGGGGGTCTAGGGTTTGGGGTTTTCGGGGTTGGGGCTCTTGGGGGTCCAGGGTTAGGGGTCTGGGAGTTAGGGCCTTGTTTAGGTTTTTGGGGCTTATATGGGTTAGCGCTTTTTATGGGCTCTGGGGTTTAGCGGTTTTCGGGTTTAATGTTTGGGGCTTAGGGCAAACTTTAGGTTTTTGCGGGGTTTGGGGTTCAGGGTTTAGGGCCTAGGCTTTGTAGGTTTTATCCTAAACCTGAACGCCTTGAACCCAAACCCTCAAAACCCGTGCAATTCTAGACTAAAGCCCTCTGAACGCCTAACCACCCCCCCCCACCCCTAACCCCCCCCCCCCC